TGAGTAATGCTGCTTTCAGCATACGTGTGTGTGGATTTTGAGTGAACCTGATGTCTTCCCTCACTCAGGATCAGTACCTAAAAGCCACGGGGCCAGCCCATGTGGGTGGTGTATGAGAAATCTCCACTTGAGTTCTTCTTCCACAGATCCTCTCTTCTCATGGTTCTCTTTCTCTCACCATCGCTCTGATCATTCATTCATTAGAAACCTCCATCTCACAGAGCCTACCATTTTTCCATGGGCCAACAATCTTGTAATGCTTCCTTTTCTTCTCCCAGCACGAAGCTTTCATGGCCAACCTTAAAAGTCCTCTTCGGACAACCTTCCTGACTTCCTCTGATGTTGATTGTCCATCCTCAGTGTGCCTCAGGGTGGAGCAGACAACTATGCCAAGGGGGTCAGCTTGTGGTCATCGGTTTCCCTTGCCCTTCTGGTACTGCCCGTCAGGCTGGCTGTCTCCAATAACCGACCTGTATTACAAATCTGTCACTAATGGCCATCCTCACTCACCACAGAGGAAGAGATCGGATACAGGATAGCACACCAAGTGCACCTGAGTGACCACATCCACATTCTATGTCCTGCTTTCCCACCTTTAAAGTGACAAGCTGTCTCTCTCTGTACACAGCCAGCCCCTTCCCAGGGCACTGGGCAGCACAGGTGCCCATCCTGCATTTCCCACAGCTTTCCTCCTGCCATGAGCCCTGCCCTCTACTGCCTTCATTAACATCTCCCTTTGCCCTCACCAAAGAAACATTCACCTGCATGCCTATGGCTCACCTTCAACAACCATGTTTCCCTTCCCAAAAGATGATTCTTCACAGAGCAAGGTTCCCTCAGCCTAGTGATCAAGGTAATGTCATCAGGGTTGTTGATCACTGGTGACCTTGATAGGGTGCTGTGAGAATGAACTTGATTTCTGTGGTCTTCCTCCCCGAAGCCCAAGGCCCTTCTGAAATCAGAACATCACCAGGCAAACCCAATTAAAGGATATGCAGCAAAATACAAGGGTTTGTTCAAACGTTCATGAGGTAAAATGGAGCTAAAAGATTTATTTCATTGAAAAAATGGAAATGCTTGCATTAATTTGTTTGTAACATGCGTTTTCTATGACTTTGGAAAGAGCCTCTCATACTGTGTTAATAAGGGGCTGTGGGTGCAGGAACTCTGGAATTCTTGCACCTTTGTTAATCTAAAGCTATTCTAAAATTTTGTTAACTATTCACACAGACACTAATGACCCATGTCTTCCTCTAACTCCATTTCTCTGCTGCTCTTCACAGGGAAACTTCATCATGGAGTTGATGTATTGTGATGGTCTCTATTGCTTTAGCCAGGTTGCTATCTGATCCACCTCCTCCCCCTGAGCAAGCTGCTGTTCTTAACTCCCCACCAAAGCTGCTCTTGTTAAAGTCAAGGATGACCTCCACATTGGCAAAATCCACAGGGAAGTTTTTCTGTGTTGAACCCATTGGGTGTGGTGTGACTCTTCCTGCCTTCCTGAAGCATCGTGCCCTCTTGAGTTTTGGAATACTGCACTTGTAGCTTCTTCTGTCGCCGGCTCCTCCACTGCCTGCCATGGGGACATGAGTGGCCTCAGGATCAGGAACTCTGATCTCATTGGTGTCTCATCCCATCCCGGGATTCTGGTTCCTATTGCTGCTTTTCATGCTTGTATTTCCAGCCATTACCTTAAGGGGTCGGTGTTATGACCAAGCTTATCATACAAAGAGCAGGTGCAGACTGTCTGACATTAAGGGGTTCACAGAAGGTTGCACAGCTGGAAGCAGCAGAGTACAACTTTGAATGCAGGTCTGATGATGGCCCCACTGCCCTGCATCCCTCTTGTTCCATCTCAGCCCCCTGGCCTGCCTGCTGCTATGGCATCCTCCATGTGCTGAGGCTCACCTCTTTGATCTCCCTGTTCCCCTCTATCTCTAGTCCAGTCCAGTTCTGGAGGGGCCATGTTGATTCTTCTGATTTCCTCCAAACTCCTGTGGGACTGGGGTCCACCATCTGCATCTACAGCATAGGTAGGAGACATCTGGTCCATGGGCTATATAAAGCTCGTAAAACCCTTTGGTCTAGCTCTGCCAAGGCAGCCGCAGGTGAGACTCAGGATTTAATACATCTGTAGCTGGCAGGTGTTTTTTGTTTAATTTTTCCCCACAAAGAGATTATTTATTTGAAAGGCAGAGTTAGAGCAGAAAGAAACTGATTGCTAAGTCTCCCACTTGCTGGTTCACTCTCTAAATGGCTGCAACTGCTGGGGCTGGGCTAGGCCAGGCCAAAACCAAGAGCCTCGAATTCCATCAGGATCTCCCATGGAGGTGACAGGGACCAAAGACTGGCCTCTGCCCTCTGTGCTGCTTTTCCAAGTGTATTAGGGAGCTGGATTGGAAGTGGCACAGCTGGGACTTCACTTGGTTGCTTACTCAGGCTTAGCCTGCCATACAATGCCTGCTCCTGTGCTAATTTTTAAGTTGATAACTTTGTGTTATCCATAATTGGTATCACAATGCAAATAGCCCTCAGTAGAGAAAATCTTCCCCAGCCCTGATCTATGGTTACAGCACTCTCTGAATCCATGATAGGAGTCCTTTGTCAAACACAGGGGTGTGCATGGGGCACTGGAGCACAGGGGTGTGCATGGGGCACTGGAGCAGTCTCTGACTTGGACTGGGTGGGAAAAGGGGGTCTGGGAACTTCCAGCATGGATGCTGTGGCACACCATGTTCTCAGTTATCCAGGGCAGTCTCTAGTGGTATTTAAAAGGTCAGGTTGCCTCTGCATTTAGCATCACTTGTGTAGAAAGTGAGAGTCTGGGAGGCCCCAGAAAGTTCACTCTGAAAGTGAAGGAATTGAGGTAGAGACTTCACAGGGGTTTCAGACAGGCCAAGCTGTTCCCACAAGAGTCACTGAGTTCATAGAAATACCTTAAGAAATGGGGCTGATGTTGCAATCATGATCATTCTAGAAGAACTGAAACTGCCCTGAGGGAAATGACAAGGACAAGGCCTCAATATAACGGAACTGGGAACTGACCTTGGGCACAAAGGACATCATCTCCTTTCGCTTAGCTGAGATGCTGATGTGTGTTATACCTCAGTCCTCTCACTGTGTGGCTATGGCCAAGTCACTATTTCCATGGGCCTCAACCTTCCTCATCTCTCAAAATGGGTTAAAATGAAGTGATGGACTTGGTTATAGTGTTTTCAGGCTGTTTGTTGGCAGCAAGTCGGCTTGAGATGATGGCTCTGGGGTTTTCTGTGTGACACCCCCCAGCCCAGTCTGGAGTGGAAGAGTCACCAATCATTTGACCACTCACACATGGGCAGGTCCTTTTTTCTCACAAAGCCAAGGGCAGGCAGAGGTCCAAGAAAAAACTGCAGGTAACTGAATTTCACATGCCATAAAGGAAGTGGAAGTGCTCCAGGAAAAACCAGTTTGTTCCCCTTCCCAGGTGACACAGCAGCGGCCTTTGTCCTGTTCGGGTCCTGGGAGGCAGAGCTGACCTTTGTCTAGCGGGGATGCTCTCCTGGTGCTCCAGCTTGGCATGTGACTCCCTGAGGATCTCTTCTCTGGAGGCCATTAACCAAGCTCAATGCTGAGAAGGTTGTCAGCCCAAGCCAGGGTTTGCCAATCAAAGGGAAAGGAATCTTGAGTCAGAGGGGAATCCCAGTGGCTGGGTAACTACCAGCTGTGCCAACTGCAGTGTGGAAATGAAATATGAGGTCCGTGGAATCAACCCAAGGTCTTCACTGGGTAGCCAGAGATGAAACATAGAGGAACAATGGCTTGAGTGGGTCCCAGTCCTCAAGCCTGGGTGTTCTGGGAGAGGCTGAGCTCCCTAAACCTGCAAGGAACAACAATTTTCAAGTGGTGTGTCCCCTTGCTGGAATTAGAAGCCAAAGGAGCTGAGTGCTCCTGACTGCCCCTGGGGCTGGAGGGTACAACTGCAGCCTTTAGTGTGGTAAAGGCCAAAGGATTTTTCCCAAGGCAAGCACTGTGGATATATATTACAGGTAAATCAGAGTTGATGGGAGGCTAAGATGGCCTCCTTCCAGGCCTAAGCCTTGAATTTTCCAGTGTTCTGAAGGGTACAGAACAGCTTCAGAAAAGAACAGGGTGAGTTTTTACTCCAAAATGGTAGGCAAAGGAGGGTAAGAACTGGGTGCAATCCATAAAATCCAACCTGAAGGTCTGGGTACCAAATAAAACCATCAGAAAGGAGCTACAAGCTAGAGTAATAAATTCAGGAAATTGCTGTTTGAACTTGAAAACAAGGCCCTATAAAATACACCTCCCAGCCAGCACAGGAAGATAAGAGAAGGGAGAAGCACAGGCCCAGACTGGGCTCAAGTTCAGTCTCCCCTGCAGGCAAGCTGGGACTTGAGTAAGTAGTTCTATACAGTCTGAGTTTCCGCTGTACAGTAGGTGCTCACAGCCAGGAAACAGAAGGACCGAAGCATTAGGCAAGCAGAGCACGTGATGCCTGGGTGGCTGGTTCTGGGATGGATGGTGCAAGCAAAAGCTGCTGCTGGGGTGCTGCCCTGACACTACCACCCCACCTCCATCATGCCATGATGGCAGCTATCTGGTCAGAAGCATGTTACAGTTTAGGAAAGTAAACCATGAACTTCAGAACTGCTGGGCGATCCTAGTCTTCTTGCCATCAGCTGTCTTGGGTTGAGGTTACACAACCAGTCACAGCCCTCACACTGCCCAGTGCTTTTTTCCTTTGGATTCCCCACAGGACGTGGAAAAGGGCCCTGGAGCAGCCAGACAACGGACTGGAGAGGGACAGTGTGGCCTTCCAGGCTTTGGCATTTTCCAAATAGTCAATATATTCTTTCTTTCCTTTTCCAGTCTCCCGCCAGTTGGCTTCAGTTGTCTGGGCAAGGTCGGTGGCAGTGTTGTGTGAATTTAGAAATACCGCATTTTCCTCTGGTGTGGCCTGCGACAAACCCACAGGAAGTAACAGACTCCAGCAGGTAGGATCAGAATACTTTAATAAGATATCAGTGTCAAAATACATTTCTTTATAAAGTTAAGCTCCCATAGTTATAATGTTGTCAGTAGGAATTTGACAAATATAATAATATTCATGAAATCATTACATAGACAGGCAAGGTTAATACAAAGCTTGGAATATTTTTCAGAGTGTCTTAGTACAACCGCAAGGGTAGAATGCCCTTAATGCTGAGGCAACACACACAGGAAATCAAACACCAGTGCTGACCTGTCAGTAACCCTTCAAGTTCTGCTGCCACATGTCAGGCAAGGCTGTGCTGCTTTTGTGTGCTCTAGGAAGCACACAGCCCAGTCCTTTTCCTCACATACTTTGAAAGTTACTTTGTAATTGGCAGTTTGTCCATCGGGCTTACCAGGTTCTTGGTCTGATGGGCTTGTGGTGTGTGTATTATATTTTATTGTAGCAACTGTACAGTGAAGTTCCATGGGATTGGTATTTAAAAACCAAAAGGTGCTGTCCTTCTTACCCAGTGAGTTACAAAGTGCTCTGAGAACACTATTTTCAGTGCTTCCTACCTATACACATCACTTCAAGTGACAAGGAGATCCCTAGCCAGGGTCCAAGGCTAGGGGCTGGTCCTGGAGGTCTGACTGCTGCATGCCAGCAAGGGGCACTGCCTGCCACCTGGGCCTTGCAGGCTGGGGGCTGATCAGGACCCACTGCCCTCCATTTGGTGCCCTCGCTCAGTCCAGCTCTAAGGTCATGAGCTCAGGAGGACACGGACCAGGTCACTACACCATTTCCAAATCCTGACTTTCTTGCCTCAGCTTCCATCTGAACCATTGCATGACAGTTCTGGAAAGAGCCCAGTGTGCTATGTGAAAGGCTTTTAGAAGTCATGTAGCTCAGTGCACTTGAAGGGCTAGCAACAAAACCTTCCCAAAAATGAAAGCACGTCCCTGCCCCCAGGATGTGGCCCTTGTTGGCTACCATCATCATAGATACACAGAAATGCAGAGCAATGGCAGAAGACAGTGGCAAGTACAATCCCCGGGTGGCCCGTTGTCCCCCTGTCACAGAGGGAGGAAAGGGGAGAGGAGAGCTGTAGCAGGGTTAGTCCAGGCCCATGGGATGACTGCTCAGGGCTGCAGTGTCAGCAATAAAGTAAACTGAACAGCCTGAGAGCAGCTGCCTGAGCCAGGTTCCATTTATAAGCTTTTAGTTACCACAAAGTACCCATATATCTCATAATAAACACTTCACCCAGATATAAATTTTTAAAAAGTTCTCAGTTATGTTTTTTAATAATAACGATTAAAAAAAATCCATCAGAGTGGACAGGGAAATGCCGCAGAGTTTAGCAAGAACCACCCTGCATAACTTTCACAGAAAACCACATGCCAGAGTCCACCTTCACATCCCTGCATTCCTCAGGCAGAGCCCAACTGGAGCAGAGTCGGCTTCAGAAAGACTGTAAAAGCTAATCACTGTGTTGTGAATTTCAAAGAAAACATGAGGGATGCTAGAGGGAGAAGCCACATTTTGGATTGTGAAATCCTTTTAGTCTCTCTTTGGCAACAACAACAACAAAATCTTTTTAGTCCACTGAAGCCATAGCTTTTCCTACAGGAGAGCCTACGTACGCTGAACCTGTTAGAGTGGAGACCACATGAGAGGGAGGGAGATGGAAACCTATGGATAATATAAATTAGAAGTCATTGGAGGTGGGCTGGAAAACAAAAATCTTACAGAATTAAAGAATGCTTTCTTTGTAGGTAAAACGATGTTGTCTTTAAAACAGGGATAGCAGAGTGGGCATCTCAAAGGCCACTGCTTGGTGACCTGGGCAAACCTGCCAGGTAAGTACATCTCATCAAAAATGTGCTGGTGTTAGAAATACCTAGTTGCAAAAAAACAGCCGTAGAGAGTGAATGAAGCTGGCGGGACGGCGTCGGCAGGGCTGTGCCCTGCGGGAGGCCCTGGCTCAAGTGGCTTGGTCCAGGGCCCTCAGCAGGTCCCCTCCCTGCAGGAGCGTGGAGCTTCCAGGCACAGGAACGTTCACCTCACAGTCATATCGGGTCAGTTCGGGCAGCAGGTAGGGCTCAAACGAAGGCCCGAGCAGCCGGCTCGCCAGGCCTGCAAGAGGGAGTGGGCATGCTGTTTATAGGGGCCTGAGTGAAACCCCTGGGAAAGCAATTCCTCCACAGGAAGGAGTAATGTATGCATGGAAAGAGACATATCCAGTCCTTGTGGAGGCTGGCACGGACAGTGGCAGAGGGGATGATGCAAGGGACCCTTAGGGAGGGCACAAAGCCGACCCATCTGGCACCACACGTGTTATGTCCACAGAAAATTGAACTAACAGGTGAGTTTAGTGCAAGATAAATGGGAGAACCAAGCATGTTTTTGCCCTGCATTTCTATGCATTTCCAGGGTTTTCGCCCCTTGCAGGTGCGCACACAGGCCTCCCCCAAGAGTCTAGAGCCTGAGGCATCCCATTCAGCTCAGCACCTCCTTCCCATCCCAGGGACCTTGTGGTTGTAGCCTTTGCTTTCCAGAGCCAGCTTGCTTCTGGGAAGGCCCAGGTAAAGGACAGAGGCTCTGGGCCTCTTCTCATGCAATGGCTCTGGCTGCTTCCCTGTCCAGCGTGAGGGACACATGGCCTCTTAGCCCCTGCTCACTCCTCTCCAGGTAACCACCTTCCTACATCAGCATCCTGGGCCTTGCAGGGAGCCAAGAGTTGCCACCTGGAGATCCTTGTCTCCTGAGCCTTGTCCTTTGGCAGCCCTGCTCTGGCAGTCCATGGCCTTCAGTCTACAATGCAGAACGGTTCTGGGACAGGAGGGAGGGGGCTAAAAACTGAGCAACCTCTCTCCTACCTTAACTTAGTCCCACCTCTCTGCGTGGCTGATGCACTAGAAGTGGGCGCATGGCAAACCCTGGGAGGTGGCTCACTGGGTAAGTCACAGCCCAGGGGCTGCATGGTACCATGCAAGTCCTGAAGGGGAGGTGGGTTGGGTTGTGAGAAAGCCAGCACTGCTGTCTGTGGACAGCGCCTGCTGAGGTCACTGGGCAGAGGTGCTCTTGAGAGAAGTGTTAAAACAGACTCCTGTAAATGCTGGGTTCTCCTGTGGGGGAGCCAGTTTCTCTGCCCTGTGTGTTCCCCCCACCCCTGGGCTGGGGGCCTCCTGAGCACATACCTGGCATCTTGTGAGTCAAAGGCTGGTTGTTGTAGTCCTGGTACGGGGGTGCATAACCCTGCAGGGGGAACCCGCTCTTGACATTCTCCCCGGAGCTCAAAGTGGATGGTGGCTGTGGGGGTGGCAGGTGTCTCAGGGGCTGCCCCAGGCCCCTCAGCGGGTTTTGGATGAACTCATCTGAAAAACCCAAGATCAAAGCCAAGAGTGAGAGGAGCCAGTGTGATGCCTCCAGCACCTGCTTTCCTGCACGAGAGGTGCTTGGAGATGCCTGATGCCCACCTGTTAGAACAAGGCTCTGGCAGGCAGTAGGGGAGCTGGGGTGGGCCCTGAGCCCTCCCCCAGGGGGCATGTTTGCATCCAGCAGCTTGTCCGGCAGCAGAGGGCAACCCCCTCCCCGAAGGCTCTTCATCCGTTTCCACATCAGATGTGAAGCGCTGCTGCCCGGCGGGTCCCCCTGGGTGTAGGAAGGCCAGAGGATAAGGTTGAGGGCCACTTTCCCCCCTCATCTTTCCCAGCACCAGCAGGGGCTCCCCCTCCCCACTCCTAGTGGGTCTGCCTGTGTATGGGAAGGCCACCAACCTTCTGCCCCCAAACCCAGCCCTGGCAGGAGCTCCCTGCCTCTCCTCCCCAACTCACGTCCTGGAAGCCTTGCTTCTCATATTCCAGCTGCCGCTTCAGCTTCAGCTTGTTGGAGAGGGCTGCCACAGCTGGGCTCATCATATCCGCAGCCCCGGGCCTGAAGCCTTTTGCAGATCTGCCCAGCCCAAGAAACCGTGTCATGAAGGGCCAATCCCCAAGGTCCGCCTGCCTGCCTGCCCCTGTTGTCTTGAGTTGGCAAAAGGCTGAAGAGTTCAAGCCCCAGGTATTGCCTACCCACCCAGCCTTAGGGGTGACCTCTCCACCAGGTGATGCTGGTCTGTAGTTCACTCCTGCTCACTGCAGCTTTTCTGGGGTTCTCCTGAAGTTCAAGTGGACACCTGGGAGCCACCCCTGATGACCGAGCCCAGGGGGCTACCATGAGCTTGTTGGGGAGACTGGCAGGGGAGGGAAGAATGGGCAGGGAGGGGATGTGTTTGCTTTTTCTCAATCAGGGTTTCAGGAGAGAATTGAGAAAGGTGCCTCCTGGCAGCTTCCTGTATTCTGGGGCCCAGGGGCCATAGTAGACAGGTGAGTCCAAGGCCCTTTGCCAGCTACTTCTCCCTCTTTACTTCTTTATCCACCCCTCCAGCCCTGAAGCTTTTCAGACAGTTGTAGAGGGATCAGCTGCTGCCAACATTTATCCTGCCTATCCCCACCACTCACCTTGTCTTAAACATGGAGACGTGAGCCAAGGCATCGGGGGGTCCCAGTGGCACCGCTCCCAGGGGTTCTGTGTGCTGAGCCCCAGCAGACCACTTTGTTGGCCCGAACTGTAATGGTGGATCCGGAGGCCATTGGGTGTTGGATCTGCCCCCCATGGAAGACAGAGGGGTGCTGGCCTGGCCACAGCAGGGAGGCATGGCTGTCTTGCGCCCTGCATCAAAGAAGATGGAGGACATGGGGTGGTGCTCAGGCTCTGTCTTCTTGCCCTCCAGTGGCGGTGGGTACTTGTCCAGCAGGAAGGTGCTCTCAGAGGCTGTCGGGACCAGCGGCTGGAAGATGTTCGTCATGGTGCTGAAGCAGTGCTGGGGAGGTGGCTGAGGGCTCTCTGGCACGACTGGTTCCTCGGGGCAGATGGGGCTCAGCTGGAAGTCCTCCCCATCCATGGGGATGTAGGGTGCCAGGGTTTCCAGGTCCAGCTCGTTGAAGTCAGTCTGAGGGGAGACAGAACACAGGGCCGCCAGAGGGTGAGATTGGCTGCCAGGCCCCCTGACCTCCAGCACAGCTTCATGGAGGCAATCCCTACTCTCACCTCCACGGCTGCCTAGGCACTCCAGGGAGCAAGGTCTTCAAGCCACACACCTCAATTCTGCATGCTGGAGTTAGCTCCCCAAACCTCTCTAAATTTTACCTGTCCAAACCTTGCCTTCTTTGTTGCAGCCAGGGAGGTCCTACCTCTTCCACAGCATCCCCCACCATCTGTTCCAGTTGTTGCTGGTATGCCTATTCTCCTGCAATGTGAGCTTGGGGAGCCGAGGAGAGCTTGTCCTCATCATCCACATTGCTTAACAAATAGTTGGTGCCCAGGGATCAGCTATGGTTCTCAGATGGGCATGTGATAGCAGAACATCCACTGCAATCAGCTGCCATGTAGGTACCACTAGGAACACTACCAGGCAGGTGGGGGCAGACAGTGATGACAACTGTGTGAACAGGCCACAGCACGTGGCTGTGGTGCATACCAGGTGAACTTGGTGCCAGAAGCTGCACTCAGGCCCCACTGTGGAACCTTATGAAATGTGCATCCAATCACCACAGCCACATACATGAAGACAAATGCTCTAGCAGATGCTGTTCAATAAATGTGCTCTTAAATGTTGTAAGCAAATGTGCTTGTCATTATTTACAAATGCTTTTCAAATAAGTGGTTCCTTAAAGGAGCCCAGGATGAAGGGACTAACAGTCTTGCCTGATTAGAAATACTTTGTAACACTTTTTCAATGTGAGACTTCCTGCATTGAGGGTCAAAATAGTAGTACTGGGGTCAGCACTGTGGTGTAACTGGTTAAGCCAGAGCCTACCATGCTGGCATCCCATATGAGTACCAGTTTAAGACCCAGCTGTTCCACTTCCCAATCCAACTCCCAGAAAATAACCCTAGGAAAGCAGCAAAGGATGATCCAAATCCTTGGGCCCCTGCACACCTGTGGGAGACCTGGAAGAAGCCCCTGACTTTGGACTAGCCCAGCTCTGGCCATTGTAGCCATCTGCGGAGTGAACTAGCAGATAGAAGACCTCTCTCTGCCTCTCCCTTTAACTCTGCCTTCCAAATAAACTTTTTAAAGGACTTTTATTGGAAAGGCAGATCAGATTTATGGAGACAAAGCAATAAACATCTGTATGCTAGTTAATTCCCCAGGTGGTCACAATGGCTGCTGCTGAGCTGAACTATAGTTAGAGCTGCTTCAGGTCTCCACATGAGTGCAGGGGCCCAAGGCTCTGGGCCATCCTTGACTGCCTTCCCAGGCCACAAGCAGGGAGCTGGATGGGAAGTGGAACAACCAGGTTACAAACCAGAGCCCATATGGTATCCCAGCACTTAGAAGGTAAGCATTTAGCCATTGAGCCATAGCACTGGGCCCCCAAATATATATTTGTAAATAGAAGTGCCGGGTGTGACGTGAGAGGAGGGGAGGAACCTGTGACTGCACTGCTCCTGCATTATAAGGACCTGGACTGTAAAGCCTCACCAGTCTTAGCAATCAGAGGGCAAGGCTGAAAGAAGGGACCTAAATCATTCTTCCCTGCCACACAGCGCCATCCCCGTCCCCCAGGTGCAGGGTCCCCTACCTGGGTGCTGCACTGGTCCTTTGCCTCAGTATCCATGGCAAAGAGCTTCTCGATCATCTCGATCTTCAGGTCATCCTCCAGAGAGGTGTAATAGTCTTCAGGGCTGCTGGGCTGGGGGGGAGAGGGGGCAGGGAGCAATGGGAGCAGGTCAGGGCCATGGCCCTCATCTCCCTGAAGGCCCAGCAGGGAAAGAGTGACAGATCCCACCGTCCTGCCAGGTGGCTCCATCTGAACTCAGCCTTCAGCCACCTGGCAGCAGCGAGAGTAGGAGCCTACCCACACTCAGCATCCAGACGGGCTAGGGGCTCACCGTGGAGCAGCTGCTGTTGCTGCTGGCACTGGGGGTGGTGCTCCCCGGGGCGGCCACCTGGGGCACGCTGAAGGCAGGCAGGCTCCCAGCATCACTCTGAGTGCTGTGGCTCCTCACCTCCGCAACCCACGGCTGGCCTGGGGGTAGGACAGCCTTACCATAGGCTGAGGAGTCCTCAAAGCTCTGATTCCCTGTGGAGACAAGAGCATGGTTGGTGACTGCCCATATGCCACAGGATCACACCCAGAAGGGAAGAAACCCAAGAGTACACAAAAAGCCCTTAAAGGGTTGGGACAAGCCTGCCTGGAGTTAGACCCTAGACACCTTGGGGCTCAGCTGGGACTGGGAGCCATGGCCAGGGCTCCAATTCCATATGCAGACTCCTTTTGTATCTTCAGAAACTATTAAAAGCTATTCTTTCCTAAGAAACAATCTAGAACATAGCCAAGGAAGTTCCATAGGGTGATTTGGGTCATCTGCCTCAGCTTGAGCATACATATAGATCCAAGCAGTCCAAGGGCCTGCACCCTTTACAGTTCTGATGTTGAGACCATTACATGACATCTTCACATATCCACAGGGATTAGCACTGTGGCATAATGGGTTAAGCTGGCACCTGCAACACAGCCATACTATAGGGCGCCGAGTCCAGACCTGGCTGCTCCATGTCCAATCTAGCTCCCTGCTAGTGCACCTGGGAAAGCTGCAGAAGGCCCAAGTCCTTGGGCTCCTGTGACAAGGTAGGAGACCCGGATGAAGCTCCTGGCATTGGCCTAGTCAAGGCCTGGCTATTGCAGCCATTTGGGCAAAGAACAAGCAGACATAAGCTCTGTGACTCCGCCTTTTGCATAATTTGCGAGGGACACGGTGGCAGCAGGTGGGTGCCTCCAAGGTGCGGTTCAAGGTGGTTTTCCCGGATGGGAGTGGGAGGTGCATACTGAGACCTGCAGGAGGTCACAGTACCTGCATACTGCTAGAACAGAAAATGCTTTAATGAATTCATGCATTTGGGGCTCTCACTACACCTGAATTTGTTCTCCATCCATATTCCAGAAGCCTCTTGACACTGTTACTACCTAGCCCTCCATCTAACAGGCAGCCTGTCCTTTGAGACCCAGGTGGGGAATCTGGCTTCCTTCTAAGAGGTCTTTAATCTTTCCCTCCACCTTGGCTCAGATCTGCAGCACCCAAGGTGAGAACCTGCTTTTAGGAGGGCAACCCTCATACTCAGTTCTTGTTCTGCACTTGGTAAAGGCAAACTTGGGGTAGTCTTAGAGGCAGATGCACACATGGGACTTTGGTGCCAGCAGAGTCCGCCAACTAACAGTGATTAGCATGACATGGAGGAGGTCTGGTTTAGGCAAAGCTCAATCTGGGGAGACCAGTTATGGCAAGAACATTCACCCCTGCCACCCCACCCCAACTGCTAAGAGGATTCTGTGAGCCTGGTTCAGCTAAGAAGCACCCACCAAAATCCAGAGAGATGATGGCATCGCCAGGCGTGGGAGCCAGTTGGGCCAGCTCCTCTGGCTCCTCCTTCAGCTTGGTGAACAGGAGATCACTCTTGTCAGACACAACCACCTCACCACTGTTGTCGAAGATGCTGTTCATGGCCATGAGGTGGGGCTTGAATAGGGACTCAGTCTGGTCCATGGAGAACACCACGTCATTCTTTTCGATCTCACTGGCAGGACAAGAGAGAAACTTTTCACAATTTCTGGCATGACCTCTTTTCCTTCCCCAGACATATGGAAACTCCAATGGCTAAGTCTCATGGATAGAAACAGGTGAGGGGCCACTACTGGGCGTTCACAGGGAGTCACGCAGGTGGCAGTAGCAGTGCCCTGCACACACATGGGCCTGACTGAAATGCTGCCTCACTATTGCACTGGGGCTGGCGGTGCCCACAGACCTGAAGGCTTTAATGCTGGTGTTTGTTCCAGCAACAGTTTCCTCCAGAGCTTCTCTCCATGGTGGCAGAGAATAGGGTAGCATATATTTTCTGGAAAGCATAAGTGATTTTCTTTTTTTCCCATTCTGAAAATATGGGTTAAAAGTGATGGCTGTATGCCATCTGTCCCTCATCTGGGTCAGAGATATGGCATAAGGGGCAAGGGAGAGTTCCCAGGGTCCTAAAGATGTATGCTACCGTGAGCTCCTGATGGGCAGCCCTTTCCTGAGCCTGCTTATCCCTCTGTGTACCAGGTCTGGCCCCAGGATCCTCTCTACTCACCTCAGCACGTAGTTGACACACATGATGCACTGGGGCTGCAGGTTGCGAGGATTGTAGATGACAGTACCCTGAGTCTCCAGCCACACGTAGCCCCCGTGCTTTGCTAGCATGCGGTACTGGCCACTCACCACCTGACCCTTGGTGCACACTGCAGAAAAGATACAGAGCTTGGGTCAGCAAGATGGGGCACAGTGTGGGCTGTGGGCTCAGGGTGCACACCAGGGGCAGGGTGGGCTGCCTGCAGGTGGACACAGAGAACTGGGCATGGACAGCAAGCACTAGGGAAGATGGGCTGGCAGGGAGCTCAGAGACCATTTGGACCAGCTTCCCACTTGAAGGAGAGGGCAGAAGAGCCTGAAGGTCTTGGTCAAGGCTGTCCAGGCGTATAGGCCTGCTCCTCAGTGGGTATCACCATGAACAGTCCCTGCCCACCCTTCCTTCCTTCCTTGTGGGGCTCAATGGGAGGAAGTCCCTCCATGGCCGACACTCCAGGTGGTAGGGGCTACAAGCAGCTGGCAGAAAGCCTGACCTCAGATATGCCCTCCACAGTAGCAGCACCAACCCTCAACCCTGCTTATAGGTTAAAAACAATAAGCTTTGTGTGTACTTTTAAGAAACAATATTCTTAATTTTTGCATATCACCTGTGGAGCCTGCCCCCTTTGGGGCCACTGAAGGCTTTTATGACCTCCCACATAGGCAGAGCGGGTCACCCTACCTTGAAGCCGGGGAGCAGAAAAAGACTGGATGCCTAGGAGTCTGCACAGCCCTAGGATAAGTCTTTTACCATTCACTTCCTGCCAAATGCCTAGCCTGGCTGCCTGCTTTCATCTTCCAGGCTGATCTCAGTATCCATTTAGCACACATTCTTACAGTGCAAGAACAATGGGGAAGAGGTCCTACATCCCAGCCTTTCCTCGCCTGTCTAGAATGCTCCCGGTGCCACTATTCAAAAGGAATTGATACACTTCTTACCTTCACATCTATTCATGTTGGAATCTCTAGTATAATTTCCTGAACTGCCCATTTCCTATCATTCCCTGGGCATTCATTCTTTAGAATTCCAGCTCAGAAGCCCCCAGGACTCAGGGAATTGGGAAGAGGCATGCTGGAAGGGCTGGGAAATCCTGCTAGCTTGAGGATTCTAGGAAACAGTCTTTTCTGGACATTGTTTCCTCTTCTGTGAAACTGAATACCAATGGTACAGGTAGTAATGCTGACAACCACCATGGGGAGTCACCCAGAGCACCTCGGCTATCTGCACAAAGGATCCAACGTAACTGTCTGGCCTATTCCACACACAAACACTGACTGCCTACCACTGGCAAATACTGTAGAGGCCAGCCCCCTCCTTCCCAAAGCTGCTAAGAGGTCCTCAAAACATTCATGGACATGCATTATATGTAGAAACTATACCTGGACTTAAAACATGTTTTTGCATCAAGACAAACATCTTCATGAAGTATCTTTGCACAGTTCTCAGCCCACAGATGTGTTATACACTTGCAGATAATGTTATGAGGGGTCCTAGGGGACAATTTTCAGGTTCTCTGCCAACACCAAGAGTCTCCTGTCCACGGTCTTACATTCATGGGACACTTCCCTGGTCCCCAGCCTGGCATGGTTGAGGAGCTCAGCTTGGTTCATACTATTGCTGCTTGTCATTCTTTACAATTAGGTTTTACTTGCACATTTTACCCTCTTAAAGAATGTAATTCACAGTGATGAAATGCAAGGAAACTAACTGCCCATCAACTGATGGAGATTAAAAATCCCACACACATAACAGAACACTCTTCAATTATGAAAAAGTAGGAATCTTGTCAGCTGCAGCATGGGTTGGAGCTTGCCATGTTATGTGCAACAAGCCAAGCACAGACAAGGACAACATGACATGTTCCTAAGTGGAATGTATATATGCTGATCTCACAGAAGTTGAGAGCAGAATGTGGATCACAAGAGGCTGGGGGGGGAACAGGTGCAAGGGGAGGAGAAGGAGAGGTTGACTAATAGGTGCTAGTCATAGATCCGAACGAGATTTTCGTAACTACTGCACAGTAGGATAACTATAGATAATGATAATATACTGTACATTTTCTTAGAATACACAAAGAAAAAATGACTGAGGGGACAGATATATTTACCCTGATTTGAACATGACACGAAGGGTACATGTACCAAAACAGCACTTGGTACTCTCAAATCTGCACAGTGTTCTTGCATCAAACATCAAATTGCACAAGTCAAAATGTACCAAACACCTGCGAGGTGTAGGAATTCCTATCACATGCCTTGTAGTTCCTGTACAACGCTCTGCAGTGTCCCGAAAAGTGTGCTACGATGGGGTCATTCCTGCACAGCACTTAGAACCGTGCCTGGCACGTGATGCATTCAGTGAGGATTAGCAGCATCATGGCTTCATTTTGTGAGCGAGAGCAAGGCTATCTGGGATGATGCCCACTTCAGAGCCAAAGAAACTGAGGGATGGACCATTGAGCGGTTTGCTGAGAAGTCCCTTACAGACAGCATGAACAGGGCTGGACTCTAAGTCAGACTCTTGGTCTAAGCCATATTCGCTTATTTCTCAATGTCAACCAAGATCTAGTTTTCTTTTCACTAAAAACATACTTATTTTCAACACACAGTCTAATGGGTTTTAACAAGTGTATGGAACTACACCACAGTGTATGGAACTAGCACCACAGTGAAGGCGTACAGCTTTGCCCACACTGCCTCTGGGCAATCAGTTTCTATCCCCACCCGATTCCAGGCAACCCCTGGTCTATTTTATGGACTCTATATCAAAATGTTCTCTTCTAGATTTAACAAGAATATGTGCTCCTTTTGTTATCTGGCTTCTTGACACGAGCATGTTCCTGATACGCACCCATCATGTTGTTGCAGCCATTCTTTTTCCTTGCTGAGCAGTATTTCATTAGGCTTAGGCCCAGGTACTGTTTCATTTCCAGTTTGTCCATTCACCTGCTGCTGCGTGTTTTCTGCCTTTGATGATTGTAACCCTGCCATCAAGACCTGTGCACAATTCTTCAAGTGAACATTTGTTTTTATCTACCGTCTGTGGTAGGAGTTCAGCTCTGTGTTTATTCGGTAAGTGTTTGAACACGCTTACAATATAAAAAACTGCCAAACTGTTTGTCAAAGTGGCAGTATCATCCTGATCCACTGCTCTAACAAAACCCAAAGCCACAGGGAGGACAGACATCGGCTTCTAAGACTAAGCCAGTTGAGGGTGTGATTGGTTTAACATCCCACAGGACAACAGCAACCATCAGGGTGACAGTTTGTCTCCTGGCCACCAGTGCATGGCACTCTTGCTCTGTCACCTGTAGCCAGCAGCCACTATCCCAGCCATCATGGACTCTTCCACTGCACCACTGAGGGCCCCTGCTACAGTAAAATGATTCTTGCATGATTTCAAGTGCCTGGTGTTAACTTATTTAGATGGTTCTTAATGCAAATCAAATTCAGGGCCCTGACTCTCTCTGATGAAACAGTGCAATGAGCCAAGGTTTTAACTGCATTTCTAGCAATTGCAGGCGAGGGTCTGCTCCTTCAGGGGAATATAATTAATGCCAGCTCCCTAATCATCTGCTCATTAATGCCAGCCTTGGTGAGGGCTCTGGTCCTCGCAAGAGGCTTTTTATGGCCTTTAATCTTATTTTCCTAAGAGCACATAATGTCCTCGCACAACAAAGAGAAACCCCTCCCCTGCCTCTGAGAGCCACAACGTTTGAATTATTCATCCATCTGGGAAACGTGGCTTTCCAGTCTAGGACTGAGCCACCCCAGACCCTTCACATGTATGACACACACGTATATGTCAACTGACCCTGGGTCAGCCACACGCCCAAGCCTCTTGGTGCTGGACGGGGGAGTGAGTCTAACTCAGCTGTTTGCAGAGTGCCAAAGATGAAAAAAAAAAAAGAGGGGCATCAGTCACAACTGAAATGCACCCATTTCCTATCCTCACAGTGTCCTCTGTGGCCTGGGGCCAGGACCCTGAGCTCAGACTAGCTGTTCCCAGCTCCATCAGGGGCAGGAGGCAGCCTGAGCTTCTGATCTGTGCTACAAACTTCAGTGCCATAAAAAGTACCATATTTTTATGGACCATCAACAGAAAATAAAAAATTTTTCATCCTGGCCGTGTTTATGGATCTATAGTGTCCTAAGAGGAAGGGAAAAAGCCTTTCTATCTGCCTAGTGAGAGTTTCCTTCTGACAGTGGCTCCTTCTGCTTCCCCAAGCCAGAGGATACAGTGCGATTCTGTCCTAGAATTCTCAGAAATGCCTGACATTTGGTCCTGCTTTGGTTTGTGCCTTGACTTCAATGGAGTGTTTGGATTTTCTCCCAGCTTTATATCTAAAGGCAGGAAAGTTGCAAAAGCCACACAAGGTAGGCCTTGGGAGACAGCAGCAGGCTAGGCACCTCTAAGACCCTGGACCTGTCTGGCTGTATCCATCTGTCCTCAAAGGCACATATGACCTTCAGGGAGGGCAGAGGCTAGATCCTACAATCTCAGAATTGGGGCAGACCAGGCACCCCACTCCCCATCATATTTCCCTCCCTCTATTCTTGGGCTTCTAAACAAAGTTTAATCTAGGCTAGGTTTGGCCAGAGAGGAACATCTTTGGGATACAATCATCAGGTTCCACTTACTGTCAGACAAAACCCAAGAGCAACAGGAGAACCAAATGACAAAGTGAAGGTCTCTCTCTCTCTGAGTTCCCTGAGCTGGCATGCAGCTCATGGGGCTGCCTATCTGAGTCACCCTTATCCTTGGCCTCAGAAACCATGGACAGAGCCACACTTCTGCTTTCTGTCATCTCCAGCAGAGCCACCAGGCACCTCTCCAGGCTCACCTTGCCCATCCGTGACCCTCTAGAGTCTCTCGTCACTTACCTGTGTGCAGCACCACAAGCACCTGTTTTGAAGCATTCTTCCCCAGGTCAGTTTTTGCCTGTGAATTCACGATCTAGTCAGTGCTTGCACTGTGCAAGATGCTACCCTAGAAGCTAAAGTTAAGGTGGGAGCCATCTTGCTACCTTGGTCCCCTTTAATCCTCAAGATCCCTTAGGGTGAGGACCAAATCTGCTGATTTCTCCTGTCCCCAGTGGTTCAAGTGCACAACTACAGGTTCAGAGTCCTTGCATGTAAATGGGTTATATAGATTCAAGGACTCTATCTTGGTTCTCCTGTAACTGGGACCCTGAGTAAAGAGTCCAGAGCTGCCCTGTCAGTGAGGATGGCAGCCACAATCTGAGTGCAGGCATTTAAGTTCACATTAAAATTAAATCCCTCAGCTATCCAGGGGTGCTGGCCCTGCTCAGGCTGCAGCAGGCACACATGGACCACATAGATAGCAAGCATTTCCATCCTGGAAGGGTCCACCAGATAGCACTGTTGTGGAACCCTCTAGGCACACAGGTGTCATTCCAGTCCTAGAGCCAATACCAGTGGCCGGATATGAGGCCTGCAGAGCTGTTTCGCAAGTTCTCTGTGAGACCTACAGCTGCCTCAGTGCCTGTACTCTAGTTACCCTCCCTCTCTGCCAAGCTCCAAGGCCTGATCCAAGGGCCCTTTCCTTTTCTTTCCTGAACTGACCTAGCCCTCCTCCTCCATCTGCAGCACAGACCTGGGCTGATTATGCTGTCCTGTGTTTTTCCACATGGGGCAACACCATGTTGTGCAGGCTACTGACTGCATGAGGGTGTGTGCTGGAGTAGGGACTGAGACTCGGCCCACCCTCCATGTCACATGCCTTGGTGGGGATGCATTTCCCCAGAGGAAGCGTTCATTTTCATTGACAGGAAGGCATCACACAAGGCTGCTGGTAGCCTTGGTTCTCCACCCATCTTGGGAGCCCAAGTCCCATGTGCCACACAAGATGTCCGTTCTGTGAAGGAAGTAACCCAATTTTCTACTTCACCAGTCACATCCCACAAGGCCAGCTCCCACAGTCATGGGAAGCTGCACATGGCATGCCTGGAACTTACAGTTCTGGTGGCTTTTGGTCATGTTCTCAGAATCCAGGGCATGATAGAACTCATAGGCCGAACGTCCAAGCAACTCCTCCGGGTGGTAGCCAATCAGTTCTGTGATTCTGCAAAGAAAAGCACATCTCATGAATGGAATAAAGACTGGGGCAGAGCTCACAGGCAGGGGCCTGAGGTGGGAGGAAATCTGAGGACAAAAACCAAATGCATGCATTTGGAGGAGTGGAACCCAGATTGCCTGGCTGTGCCATTTATCTAAGCCAAGAACACCATACTCAACTGACAACTGTGGGTCCGTGCAGGCCCCAATCTGCTCCTGCCCTTCCTAAAATCAAGCCTGGAGGGCGGGTAAAGCACCTCTCCTAAGGAAGGCTCTGTACCAGACCCACTGTCCACACCACCTGCTCCCCACATCTCAGACTTGCAGAAGTGGGGGCAGAAAACCAAAGAGGGCAAAGGCTTAATGTTCATTGGGGTATTTGGGGACAGAGCAAGGACAAAAATTGGGCCTCTTCCTGCTGAGACCAAGCTCATTCTAGTCAAAGGGCTCACATAGGAAACAGCTTGTAGAGCAAGCAGGAGTTACGCAGGGAGGGTCTAGCCCAGCCTTCAATCTCCACTCTTAAGCTGGTTTCTTCCCTCCAGGAGCCACCAGTGGCTCTAGGAACATCAGGGGTGTCTCCCATGGCTTCTCCTTGGTCTCTGGCCATCCCCTTTCAAGCAAAGAAAACAGTACATCTGTGGGGAGCATGAGGAACCACTTCACCCTGGCAGGACCCCACCTGGGTGCTGGCATCATGGAAACCATCAAGAACCAGCAGGTGTGGCTGCTATTCCTCTGAGGAGCATTTCTCCAACTCTGTCATCACACATCCCATTTCTCACACTTCAGAGCCTAGTTTCCTGGGGCCTGTCACAGTGAGGAGAGATGTCTGGTGTTCATCAGGACAGACCCTGCCCCAGAGGATGTGTCAACTGGGGGTCAGCTTTCCCTGAAGCCCCACTGGAGAGGAAGGCAGAGGCTGAAAGCAGACATGGGGGTGGGGCTGTGTGCTTCCCACCTTTACTGCCCCTACATCCCTTTAAGCAGGCTATGTGCATATGTGTGTCAGACCACATGGGCCCTGGTCCTACTCCATCTGGCCATTTCCCTACTGAAGCATAAGCATCAGGCTCTCCCTTGCACCAGCCACATTAAGAGGGAACTCTGCCCCCCTTTGACCTCTACTCCTTCCCACCCCTGCTCCTTCAGCTGCCAAGTGCTTGCCTGTTTACCTGCTTTACAGCCTTTGTTCCCCACTAGCTGAGGTCCCCAAAGCAGGCAGACTTATTCTGTCTATAGGTTCTTGGATCTTCTCTTCACCCCTCTTCTGCAAGCCCCTATTCTCACAGGGTTCTTCCTGGAGACCTAAACAATATGCACAATGTCATGGAGAAATCCAAGGCCAACAGGCCCTGTGCTCAGGGATCACATTCTCCTTCTACAGTGAGGCCCCAAATACCCAAGCAACCAATCCGTGGTTGGAGTTTCTCTTTGGTCCCAAGGTATGAGCACAGCCCTGCCCATCCCTGCACTGCTTTACAGAAGAGCCTGGTACCAAAGCTCTGCCTTTGAGACACTGAGCGCCGGCAGGGGGCACACCCACAGCCTGGACGGGAGCCCTTGTGAAGTGCAATATGTCCCATCCACCACTCTGCAAGGAGTCTGTCCAGCTGAGAGGTGGGCAGAGAAGCGGCAGGTCCTTAGCCAGGGTGAGAGCCATGGGTTAAAGCCTTGGAGCAGCTCAACGGGGCTGAGAGGCTTAGGTCTCAGCTGATTCAGCCCCAGGGAGATTTCCCTGCCATTCAGCTGCAGCCTCAGGGACAGAGGATTTGTCTCCTGGCTGGGCTCTGTGCAGTAACGTCTAGGAAGTCAGTGATGATGAATGTGGTCTCCCATTTAAATCCTGGGGCCAACACACCAGGGTGATGGGAGAGGGGGAAAACAACAAGGAGACATACGGCCACCCTTAAACCACCTTCCTGCTGGGTCCAACGCCTTAGCCTGAGGGATGCTTACCAAAGCCAGCTCCCCATATCTGAGTATGAGTGAGTTCCTACTGCTGTTTCCTTAGCTCCCTGCTAATGCACCTGAGGAAAGCAGCAGTAGATGGTTCACATGCTTGAACCCCTGCATGGGGGAACTGGATGAAGCTCCTGGCCCCAGCCTGGTCCAGACTGGGCTATGGTGGCCATCTGGGGAGTGACCCAGCAGATGAAGATCTCTCTTTCTCTCCCCTTCTTTCTTACTCTGCCTTTTAAGTAAATAGAAAAAAATGGGGTAAAAAAAAAAAAAAGAATGGAAAAAGGCCTTCGTCCAGGGAGTCAATCCCCATTCCCATTCCCCCTGTTGACACTGTGGTGAAGGTTGGGCAGCCTGGCTTGCGAGATAAACTGTTTCTCTTCCTGGGCAGGTCTAGAAGTTTTGAGAGATCCTCAAAAATGAATCTACAGGTATTCTGGGATGATAGAACTCTACTTCCTAAAGGAATTAAATTTCCTTCTCTGATCAGAATCTCTAAATGAAAATGCTCAAGGTAAATATTATAATCAGTCTCATAACACATTTCTTTTAATCTAATGCATGTATCATCCATTCAAAGGCACACAATGGGCTTGTCTTGGAAGCAGCAAACAAGCTTAGACTTCAGAGCTGGCCCGATCACTTGCCGATGGCAGCTGGCATTTATCTTGTCAACTAAAACAAATATTTAACATCTCATTCTTCATGCCTTTAAACAGAAGACTGTAAAACTGGGAAGCACACATACCCCTAACACAATCCAAGAACATTGGCCCTGTCAAACTTCACAAAGCCAGGAAATCCCATCAAAAAACTCCTGGTCACTTGCCCTCACTCGCCCCCACAGGCAGGCCTGGAGACGCCAGTGGGAGGTGAATGAACTGTGCTTGTTTATGGGGTCAAGGCAGTGACAGTACGAAGGGCCTTGCTGCTCCTTTCCCTGCCTCCCAAGGAGCAGCCCCCAGAGCCCAGCTGTGATAACAGCCTCAGCTCCTCTCTCTCCAGCAAGGGCCAGCCAACTCTTATTATTATTTTTTTAAATTTCTAATTAAGGGTACCTGAAGCACTAGGGGAAAAAACCACACTATCTGGGGGTCACCCATACATTTAAGAATCAACTTAGAGAAATGGGAAAAGGCCTAATCAAACAGGCTTCAAAAATGAAGACAGAGGTGCTCTGTAATAGCAACATGGGAAAGGCAACCAAGACAGGACAGAGATTCAGAGAGAGCTGGCCACTCAAAGGCACAAGAAAGAAGTGGAGAGGGTTGGTGTGAACCCACATCAAGGTGGACACTGCTCCAGCTCCAGACCCTGCAGTAAAAAGTGCCTTCAGAATGCAAAATGAGGGGGCCCATCCTCCAAGGCTCCACTCTTCTCAACTCCCGAACCAACCTCCTGAGCCAACATTGCATATAGGCAGTGGTTCAAGTGTCAGCTGCTCCACTTCCCATCAAACCCCCTGCTAATGCGCTCCCCGGGAAAGCAGCAAAAGACAGCCCAAGTCCTGAAGCTCTGGCACCCACATTGGAGGCCCACATGGAGTTCCACCCCTTTCCTCTGTAACTCTGCCTTTCCAATAAATACATCTTTTTAAAAAAGGCACAGTGAGTTATTCTTGGCTCCGGCTGCCCTTCCATCTAACAAACTTTGCAGCAAGCTCCGTTCACAGTGTCTGATCTGCAACTGAGTGCTAGGAGGACATCTGTTCCCTTGGTTACACAGTTAGCACCAGTACCTCAATGGGCAGAGGCAGCCCGGCCACAGCCTTGGCCTGCAGGACCAGCATGCAAGTCCCTAGACTTAGCCAACTACTCAGGAGACCAAGACGGCTGCAGAGTATTTAAGTGATCTAACAGGATCACAGCTTCAAGTACTATGGAAACACCTATTTGTTTTCTAAAGAGTAAATTTGCCAGGCACGGTGTGGCAGCCTAGTGGCTAAAGTCCTTGCCTTGCATGCTCCGGGATCCCATATGGGCGCCAACTCTAATCCCGGCAGCCCTGCTTCCCATCTAGCTCCCTGCCTGCGGCCTGGGAAAGCAGTCCAAGACAGCCCAAAGCCTTGCACATCATATGGGAAGAGACTCTGGGCTCCTGGCTTTGGATTAGTGCAGCTCTGGCCATTGAGGCCGCTTGGGGAGTGAATCAGTGGATGGAAGATCTTTCTCTCCTCCCCTCCATATATCTGATTTTCCAATAAAAATAAAGTAACTTTAAAAAAAAGAGTACATTTTCCACTGAAAACTTACAAAAGCACCTGTGTTCCCCTCTCCTCTCCTGGGAAGGGCCTTGTCCCGGCAACCCTCCAGTCAACTCATTTTGGTTTCCATGTGATACAGCTTTATAAGCATTTATACTTGCGTTTCTTACATTATATAGTCTTTTCACCAAATCAGATTTCAATGCCTTCTGATAACTTTAAATAGGAAGGTGTTTCAAAATGTTCATGAAGATATGGAATTCAAAGATGCCAAGTCTGTTTGGGTGCAAATAAAAAAAAAATCTGAAATCCATGCTTATGAGGTCTTTACCAAAAGTTGATGGAAAGTATATGTATTTTTAAAAACTAAAACTAGGTATGGATTTTTCAAAAGTTTTCACACCAAAATTATCTTTGTGTCCCATGTTTCCACAAACTTTTTGAAGCCCCCTTGATATGACTGTCCAATTTGTTTACTTCAAACAACTGTCCTTAAGCCTTATGTCTTCATCAAATTTGAGATTAACAGCTAAGGATTATAGTTGTATGAAATCCTTACAAGGTTCTGTGCAGTAGTGGAAAGCATTCTGTTCACGTCAACAGGGCACATGTGGGGTAAATTTATACTAGGAAAATGGCCTAGCTCAGTGCCGGGCATAGCCTGTTCCGGGGCCACCCTATGCCATGGCTGCCTTTTTTTATCACTCTGATGCTTACAAGCACAAAGAGGTGAGTTGCTTTGAATTTCTGCAAGAGAGAAGCAGACCATGCAGAAGGAATATTGTTTGAATTGTGAAGCCTGGAAAACCCTGAAATAAAACTCCACAGAGAATTTATAGATT